GGTTAGTATTTAAAACATTGCTCAGTCTGTCACAAATTTCATACAACTGTTTTGTTAGGGCACTTTTTTCTTTCCCTTCTCTGCAAACTGATACATTTATTTCCAACTAAAAATAGGCAAAACTTTACTTGCCAAAGCAGTGGCAAACCAAACATCAGCAACGTTCCTGAGAGTGGTTGGTTCCGAGCTCATCCAGAAGTACCTGGGGGATGGCCCCAAGCTCGTGCGCGAGCTGTTCCGCGTGGCTGAGGAGCACGCCCCGTCCATCGTCTTCATCGATGAGATCGATGCCATCGGAACCAAGAGGTACAGCAGCTGAGCTCCAGCACACAGGGACTGCCAGGGCCAGCAGCAGCTTCGCTGCAAACACTTATTTTGCAACCGTGCTGGGACTGTTTATTTGCTCTGCTACATTTGCATACACTGTTTTGATGTAAGCATTTGTAGCAAGTAGCACTTCAAATAACTTCTGTGGAAACAGTATATCACAGCCTTTTTATACTAAATAGGCATGACCAGAGATAATCTCTGTTCTCTTGCTACATGGCAGCATCTCCAGGAGTGTCAAAACCAGAAAGAGACACTGAGGATTCTCTAGCTGCAAATCCATAGATAGTAATTGGCTTTAGTGATCCAATGGTAAAGCAGAATATTTAATACAGAATGTATCCATTTGTTGTTTGCCTCTCAAGTAGGTGGCTAAAGAGTTCTGCTCTGAGAGTATTTTACAGGTTACAGTGTATGTCATGGAGAAGTATTGCGTGTGCCACACCAAACTGTTGTTGAGCCCATATCCAAACGGTATTACTTTGAAAATTCTGTAGGTTTGTTGGAACTGTCCAATGCAAATAGTCTTTAAAATAGTCAAGGTGCTCATACATGTTTACTACATGGCCACCAGCCCAAAGTGCCGCCAGCCCAAAGTGCCAGCTGCTGCCGTATGTATGGATCTCTGTACTTTTAAGAATTAGGGTTTTTTTCCTTTTTATGTTGATTGTGTTATGAGGGAAGAAGATATTTCCAAATATATAACAAACATGGGAAAAAACCCCAGATCTCCTTCACATGATGGCTGTTGCATTCCCCAACTACAAGAGTAGTTCAGTGTCTTTTTACTTATCTAGATGTCACAACGTGATTCTGAAAACCTGTTTTGTTTATATGGATAAGCATAGAACTTTTTATTTAAAAACTAAATTTTATTTAAATCTCTTACAGATATTTACAAACAAAATACCCATCTCCCCCTTATGTTTATATCTTTGTGCCAGTTACTTAGTGCCTTTTCTGACTGTACTTTTCTTTCTACAAGGTATGACTCAAATTCAGGGGGTGAGAGAGAGATCCAGCGCACGATGTTGGAGCTGCTGAACCAGCTGGATGGGTTTGACTCTCGGGGGGATGTTAAAGTTATCATGGCTACCAACAGAATAGAAACACTGGACCCAGCTTTAATTAGACCAGGTAAGAGACTTCCCTGCTGTGTATGCTTAAGCCACTTTTCTTGTGAAAGGACTTGTCATAACTTGACAAACACTGGCAGGCAAAATGACTGCAAGCTTATTCTTATTCACCATCTCATCTATGCTGGTTCATCTGTTGAAATCAGAACCTATTCACAAGCTTCTAAATAGGAGAAAAATCTTTGGAAGAGAAGTGTGTTAATTCCTTTAGATATACATAAACAATTTGAATATTCTTCCTGTTAAGATAGCACAGCCATTTTAAGTAATAGTTAAGCAAGCTGTTTGCAGCAGCAGCACACCTGCAGCAGCTGGGGAAGACAGGGCAGCACCACCTGTGTTCTGGGGGTGAGAGCCTAGGCTTTACCAGAGACAGCCTGGATCCTGGTGCAGGGAAAGCAGGCTGCTTCTCACTGACCTGGCACACTCCTGCCATGTAGGGGATAAGTGAGGGAGACGTGTTGAGCTTGAGCAGGCACAGGTATTTTAAACACAGTATTTTTAAATGGCCACTGAAAATGTACCAAAGCATATTGTGCCTGTGGTGTCTGTTAAATTGGAAGGTATAAAACAACACAGAGATCAAAGGAATAAGCTGAAATACCTCCATGGCGTGAAGTTGCTGGGGTATGTGTTTGGTCTGGTTTTGTCATCACTTACCTTTAGACTCTTCAGCTCAAGCCCAGTGCTGTTAAGAATACAAATGAGATAATACTATGCCAGAATTGAAAGAGATAGTCTGACCTTGCTTTCTACTCCAAAACATGATTCACTGTGGCACGAAAAATCATGGAAGTGTTCAGTTTGGAAAGAACCTTTCAGGTCACTGAGGCCAACCATTAAGCTACCATGGCCAAGTCCACCACTAAGCTGCATCCCCAAGTGCCACTTCTACACCTCTTTTGAGCACTTCCAGGGATGGTGGCTTCACCACTTCCCCTGGGTAGCATGTTCCAATACTTCACAACCCTTTCCATGAAGAAATTTTTCCTAATATCTAACTTAAACCTCCCCATGTGAACTTTAGGCCATTTTCTCTTGATCTGTTACCTGGGTGAAGAGACCAATCCCCACCTAGCTACAGCTTCCTCTCAGGCAGTTGCAGAGGGTGATACAGTCTCCGCTGAGCCTCCTTCTCTCCAGGCTAAACACCCCCAGGTGTTCCTTCAGGTGTTCCTCATAGGGCTTGTGCTCCAGACCCTTCACCGGCTCCATTGCCCTTCTCTGGACATGCTCCAGCTTAAGAGTTACTGCCAGTTAAACCCTTCAGGTTAACCCTTCCTGCTGTTTCCAATGGCTGCCTGCAAGAAACTTGAGACTGAACTTTTCTTTTGCACAGGACGTATTGATAGGAAAATAGAGTTCCCTCTACCTGATGAAAAGACGAAGAAACGAATCTTCCAGATTCACACAAGCAGGATGACGTTGGCAGATGATGTGACTTTGGATGAGTTGATTATGGCAAAAGATGATCTCAGTGGTGCAGATATTAAGGTCAGTGCACATCTTGTTTATATTTCAAAGCAAAAACAAATCTCACTTTTGCTGCATCCAATACCATTGTCATCTGAACTGTGCACTTACATCACTGAGGGACAGTGGGATAAGGGACACTCACTTTTATGAGTGCCAAGGACTCTGCTTTACAAATGGGAAATTGTCAAAATAATAATTGTGAGGTAGCTTGTGTTGGTAAGAGTATGTACCTGTGTTACCTGAATATGAAATTTTAAAGTAGCAAAGTAGGATCTAAAAGGAGAGTGTGGAATCTTGTGCAAGGTATCTTAAACAGTACTTAAGCTAGTACAAGATAATTAGCATTTTTATGGACTACGTTGCAAGGCAGATAAAAATGCAACTGTATATTAGGACCCTTCAGCCATATCCTGTCTGCTTTTTTAAAGCAGATAGAGCCCTTGCTACAGTTACCACACTCATGAGCTTAAACCAACCTCTTTCCTTTCTGACACACTCACCTGGCGTTATGGAGTCTGCTTCAGTGCTAGAGAACGGTATCAAACTTTAGAATGTAGACTTCATTAAACACTCCTTCCTTCTACCCTTACTGGAGCAGTAGGAAAGATCCAGCTGCTTTTGAGGGTGTGGTTTGAAGGGGTTGCACAGAAAGTGTAACTATCCTTGCTTCCTGTGTTGCAGGCAATTTGTACAGAAGCTGGATTAATGGCTTTGAGGGAGCGGAGAATGAAAGTAACAAATGAAGATTTCAAAAAGTCTAAGGAGAACGTTCTCTATAAAAAGCAAGAGGGAACCCCTGAGGGACTGTATCTTTAAGTCATTTGTCTCTTTGGAAACTATACAGAACTTTCTGTGTTGGTGAGTCTTGTGTAAAACCACACAGCTAGTTTGCATCCATGAACAGGTTAAAAGCTGCTGGGTTCTGGGTTTTCAGTCAGTGTAACTCTTCACTTCCCAATAAAATGTTTATTTGAATTGAACTGTTTTGGTGGCAAAGCCCTGCTATTTACATGAAATTGTCTGTTGTGTTCTCTCACTCTGAAGAAAAAGAAAAGTGCTGGTGACCCAAGTGCTTTTGTCTGTCACCCACACCATGTGGGCAGGGAGCAATGCAGGTGCCCCAAATCTTAACCCTCCTTAGGCAGTCCCTTACAACTACTCCAGCATTGCTGTTGTTTTTTATTACCTTCTTACATGTTTTTTTAGGGGCTAAACAGGACAAGTATCACTTTTGAGTAAACGCAAATGTCCTCAGTCATTTATAGATGAAAATCAATGACAAGTTTGCAACTGTGGGTAACATTGAGATACACTTTAAAGGTACCCATCTCTAGCACTTCCAGCTTATAAAACAGCAAGATGGATGCTCATTAGTAATCTTACCTTAAACCTCTAAACATATTTGGATGGGGTACTTGTAAGATTAGTGTTTAGAAATTTGTTTTCCAAAAAGGGTTTCAGTTCATTAGATAAATATCAGAATGTCTCTGGAAAAAGCCAACACAGTAGGAACAGGTTCAAGGGCCCCATGCCCATGGCAGGATGTCACTCATAAGGCACCAGCCCCAGTGCTAGAGGTGCAGGGTCTGGTATGCTGCAGCTGTGCACAGAGAAATCCTAACTACATATCCCAGGCCTGGTGTTCTACAGCATAACCTTGAATTCTTCCTCTCTAGACAATTCTGTTGCCTACAGCTCCTTTCTCACGGGGGCTGTTGGCTCCATTGTAGCCATGCATATACTACTTATGCAGTATCCTGTGTAGTACACTTCTGTGAAGGCCATGTTAAGTTCTAAGTAATTTATTTCCAAATGTTGTACATGTGATCTTTAAGGTTTAGATAAAAGTTCCACATGCAAACCAGTTATGCAATGTGCAGTCTTTGTTCTGGGAACTTTCTGTGGAAGAAAACAGGCCAGTAAGAGAGAGTGGAGAGTTACACCAGAGCAATGCCTTCACTCACTGCCAGTGCTCCAACAACAATGGCAGCAGCAGGGCCAAGAGATTTTTCTATGTAAAAATTATGTGGCTCATTGTTAAAAATGAACCCTAGAGATGAATGGAGTCCTTTATTTAATCTGGATGACAGAAATCCTGAAATAGAATTGTTTTTCATCTGGAGCTAGAAAAACAAGTTTTATTACCCATTCTTAGAAACCTTAGGAGATCTGTCTCCTTGGAAAGGTCACAAACAGCTAGGGGATTTTTTAGCACTTTCTAATCATGGCAGTTGATTTCACTGTTGCTTGAGGGGCTGAAGAGCTTTATGACATGCATGGCAAGCAAGGCACTTTTTATTAAGGACATGGCTGTTACTGTTGGCTCAAAGCAACAGCCACAAAGAGATGGGTTCAGATCGCTGAAGGAACAGCTGCACTGCATTAAATGAACCCAAGGACTCTGTTCTGGTACCCTGAATGCCACCACAGGAACTGAAAAACACATTTGAAAATTCAGCTCTTAGCTTTTGCAGCAGAATTTAACTGCTGCCACTTTTGCCAGAGTTTCTGAACTTGACAAGACAAAAGTAATAAATACCAGGAGAAAGTGAACAGCAAGTATATTCCCCACAAGGACAGAAAATCTCCTGGGGACTGGATTAAAAGGCAGGACCTGATCTAGGAAGCTTCTGACCATCAAAAGGAAGGAAGCAGTCCAAGTGCTGCTTTGGGAGAAACTGCAAAGGAAAGGACTTGGGACAGGATGCATGGAAGAACAGAAAAGTGATAGATAGAGAAGTTGTTGCTGCCATCACCCGAAGTTTTCAAATGTGACTGCAGAGAGAGCTTGTTAATCTCATCCAGGCTCCCTGTCCCACAAAAGGTTGGACCAGATGATCTTTCAATTAGTTTTCTCATGAAAAATCTCTGAAGCAATTTTGGGTATTCTGTGGCTGCAGGTATATACTTGTTGCAGATGAAAATCCAGTTTCTGAGTCCTTGAGTCACAAAAGTAGGGATGCTAAACAATCCTTTCCATTTCAGCATGTTCTGTTTTCCAAAATACGTAACTGTATCTTTAAATTGTTACCATATTTCCTATAACTTCTCTAGGAGCTTGCTAAAAGCCTCTTGGAATATAAGCTACTTTTTAAATAATCATAGAAGACTATGCCTTCTTGATGAGAATCAAATACAGATCACACCTCTAGTTCTCTTACAACAATTGCCTGGATTTGAGTCAAAGCCAGTGATCAATTACAAAAATTTGTTTAGAAGTGAGCTGCTTAGAGATACATTATGGATGTGTTTTCATTTTTAATACACTCAGTTCTATTAAATTAATACATAAAAAACAAATTACTTTTGAATTCTCAAATATTCAGGTACATTTTTCAGAAAGATTTACATTTAAATGGTCATCTGTCAAAACATACCAAAATAGGTGCCTGCTCAAACAATAATTTAGCTTTTACTCACAGTATATGTACAGATGTAACGGCTCTTTGACTTGGCAGTTGTATATGTACAGCCATACCATGCTGAAGGAAATTACTGAAGTCTGCCAACTGGAGGACAGTGGAGCATCCATTTGGCAGATGTTTATTTTTTATGCTGCTCACCAAGCCATAGTCGGCATGTACTGAACCTCTACTGAACCCTAGGGAATGTAATTTCAAACAACAGAATAAAAAATGCAGGCAACTTCCAACAGGAGGCTATTTAAAGAGGGTATCCTTCTGTGGGAGCCAGCAATACTTCGGAGAAATGGATCCATTACTGTGGGCAAAATGCAGTCCTTGATTCCAGAATACTTGCAGGTAGTAGAACTCCATTTTGATAGGAATTTATATAAAATACTTAACAACAAAAAATATCAAGTACATAGTACCCAAGTCCCAACAGAGTTCCTGTATGAAAATGGAAATAATTGTTAGCTTTGGAAGCAGCTTCTGTACTTCCTCCACTCCGCTACAGTCTTCTTTTAAATCTCTAGTAGTAGATCCAGCTCTTCCATAGGCACCCGCACTCTCAATTCTTTTTCAGTCATTAGATCAAGTGTCTCTTGCAGATCTTCAGGGAAATACTCTACTGCATCCATGTAGAGTACCTGCAAGCAAGAATATTTTCTATGCTACCTTTCTAGCAAGAAACACAGTATAAAGTAAGTAGACAGCAACACCGCTATAGCAAGAACTTAATACTATGTATTCTTTAAGGTAATAGGAACTCAATTAGTATTCCTTCAGTGACAGCCAAGTAGATGTTTCATCTTCTCAAACTGCTACTGAGTAACTTTATTCAAAAAGATAAAGTGGTGGTCAAGGGGCACTGGAGCATTTGCAGCATATACAGACATTACCTGAAGAGTTACAGGTTCTCTCAATAATTTTTATATATTATTACATAAATTTTTATTTAACTATGTATTTAACCATGCTCATGATAAAAGTCTGAAAGAATCATTTCTAGATCACAAAGGATCTCTTACTGCCATGCCTCAATGCAACACCCTTCTGTTTGAAACACAGACATCATGGACTACTGATCATATGCCCATTTAAGATACATCTCTTATTTGTAGAAAATCCTAACATTACTTAGAAACCTCTCCTTTCATTTGCATATAAACTCTTACAACAACTAAACCTTTTTTCAAATACAGAACCTCAAAAATTAAAGTATGATGACAAGTTTACCTCTTTTCTGTCCTTACCTTTGCCCAAGGACAGTTTTGAAGGGCTTTATAAAACAATCCTTTACTCTTTTCTTTTTTTCCTAGTGAAGCCTGTATGATAAAAAAACATTCATACTTCAGTGCAGTAATAGCTGAAATACTGAAACAATTACTTCTGAAACAAAAAAATGGTTGCTGAAACGCTCAGTGTTGTTCTGCTGAGAAATCATTTTTATTATACATTGTAGTAGCTATGTATTTTGTCAGGTTACACTCTTCAGATGTCTTATAGGAGTTTCAAGGCTTTACTTGTGAGACAAGTAAGAGAACAAGGACTCAGCTATTCAAAGGAACGTGGACAGACCAAGAGCAGAATATGGTGCTTTGGCTACTCCTCTTGATTTGGTGTCAGATGCAAACTTGCTGATGGTACAGACTCTCATCATCCAGATCATTATCAAAGATGTTAAAGGGCACTGGTCCCAGAATCAATCCCTGGGCTGCAGCACCAGTGGCTGGCCTGCAGCAGGAGTTCATGCTGCTGACTACAAGCCTTTGAGCCAGGCAGTTCAGCCAGATTCCAGCCTACATCCCTGTCCACTTACCTAACCTATGTTTCATCAGCAAAGACAAAACAGATCTATAGAACTAAGGGTAATACTGAACAACACAACTTCTTCTATGACTATATCTGAAAATTTAAATGTTTATAATTGATTTTGCTTCTCTAAACAATGTTATTCCAAGCTATTACTGTATTTTCCTCCATCTTATTAGCATCTAGTAAATACTCCTTGTTGTTCTTGTGAGAACAGTATCTTCCAAGAATGAAGCACTAGTGATATACATAATGGGTGATCTTTACCATTTGTGCATACTGGGGTGTCATTATTAATTTGTAAAGAGTAACAGTAATTAATTTGTACATTCCTACATACAAAGTTGTATAAAATATTTACAAGCATATATATATGTGTAGAAATGGTCACAATTAAGTCCCGCACAAGAGATCTTCTCAAACACACAACAAGATCTCGATCTCTTCTTTCCCTGCCTCCTCTCTATTTCACAGCCTTCTGATTGCTGATCCCCCTCTGACAACTTATTACACCAGGGGACATGAACAGAAGAGTCAACACTGGGGAATGAAAGTTATTACTTGAGTGTTTTCAACTTCCATATGGTACTTTAGAGAAGCAAGAAAACCAAAAAAGGCAAAGCTGACTATATGATTTTATTTATGTAATTCCATGGGGAGCTATGGAAGAAACAAACATTATTGCTTTTTAGCATTAAACTGCAATGCCAGTTAACATAACTGTTATATGCAGGTTTTAAGAATCAAAAGACTGTCAAAACTGAAGGCCAGTTTTAGAAGCTATAGCTATGTTTTGCCTACTATGCATTTATTTTGCATATCAACTGCACCTCAAGTGTTGAGGGAGCTGGCAGATGTCACTGAGAGGTCACTCTTGACAATCTTTGATCACAGCAACTGGAAGAAGGACCCAAAGACTGAAGAAAGTAAAACATCACTCCTGCTTTTAAGAAAGGGAAGAAGATGTACCCAATGAACTACAAGCTGGTCAGCCTCACCTTGTATCTTGAGAAGGTGACAGAACAGCTAACCCTGGAAACCACTTCCAGGCCCATGAGTGAGAAGAAAATCAGCAGCAGCAGTGTGAATTCACTAAAAGTCATGACTGACCAACTCAATAAACTGCCATGATGAAATGACTGGCCTGCTGGATAAGGGGAGAGCAGTGGCCATTGTCTGTCTGGACTTCAGTAAGGCCTTTGATACTGTCTCCTCTAAGAACCTCCTAAACAAGCAGTTGACAAAAGAATTGGATGCACAGACAGTGAGAAAGCTGTCTCAAAGAGGGCCCAGAGGGTGGTGATCTGTGGAACAAGCCTAGTTACAGTCAGTGACTAGCAGGACCCCTGGGTACTATTGGGACCAATCTCATTTAACACCTTTGTTAATGATCTGGCAAATAGTGCAGAGTACACCCCCAGCAAGCCTGCAGACCACACAAAACTGAGAGGACTGGCTGATACACCACAGGGTCATGTTGCCATCCAGAGGGATGACAATGGAATGAAGAAATCAGCTGACAGAAACCTGGAAGTTCAACGGGAAGTGAAAATTCCTGCACTAATATATGCTGCAGTCTACTCCACTGGAAAGCAGCTTGGCATCTATTGGTATCTTATGACATACTTTTTATCTATGTAAGATGACAGACACAATGTCTGCATCTATATTAAGACTACTCCGTCAGAAGCTATTACTCCTAATCCACATGAAATAGCTTTTCCTTAATGTTCTCAACAATAAGCAGTGCAAATCAAATATATAACCCTGCAAATCACAGAGGCATGGCAGCATTTAGTACTCATTTTTCTATGCAGTATTCCAGCTGTTTATGAGAATTCAAAATATGGTGAAACAAAACAAAACAGATACTTCTTACCATAAAGTTCAAGTACATTCTCCATAGCAGTGGACAGTGGGTACCATTTTCACTCTGAACTGCATGTTCAAACAGAGCTACAATCCGATTTGTTAATCCAGTTTCAGGAATAGTACAATGTATTTCACCAACATCTGCCCTGAAACACAGAGAAGAAATAACAGTCCTTTAAATCCAAGCCAAGGGACCACATCTGGGTAAGAAGGGGTCAAGAACAATGCACTGCCTCTGTTCACCATATACAGCCAGGTTTTTGTAATTTGTGCTATAAACTCAATGTTATAAATCAGATTTTTATCACTTGCTAATGTGCTAAAAAATCAACACATTTCTAAATAGAAAGTAAGGAAAAATAAAAATTAAGTATTTTTGTGAAAATTAATGTAGCATATTCAAAAATCATTTCTCTTCGAACACAATAGTCCACTATCATATGATCTTAAAACACCTTAGCCTACCTCCAAGATAATTTATCCCTCTAACCTTGACAGAGCAGCTCAAAAGAAATTCAAGTCTGGATCAGCACATCTTCTGGTGCCCAGGCAAGTTTGTTCAAAATTACCCCTCACTTTTGTAAGGCCATACATTGGTCTTTGATCAAGGTCACAATTACAACTCTGGATTTCAACCACAACAGCAATTTTCACCCAGAGATTCAAATCCCCTAAATTCCAAGCAGAACACAAAAGCAGGCATACAGTTTTCACCAAAGCACTGTTTTCCTTCAACAGCTGATACAGACTGGCTTACTTTTGATTGCTTGAGCTTGACAAAACAGACTGGAGCACTGATGGCAACATCACTTGTCTGTGCATGTTCTCTCAACCTGCCAGCTTGTTCCACTCACCATTAACACTTGGCTCCTAATCTATCTCTTGTTTTTTCATGTGTCTTTGAAGTAATTTTCCCTCTCATCTTAACCTTTGCCATGAAGGAAAGTTATGTAACTTACTTTGCATGGAGTCAAACATTTGAAGCCTTATACCTAACAGTGACTTAAAAACATTCCAGTTTTACCCTTTGTGCTCATTTTTTCATCTGAATTCCATGTGCTTAAGGACTATGAAATAGTCGGACACAGCACAGACATTTTCTTATTTTGTCACAACATCACAAAACATTAGTTTAATGCATGACTGACCGGCCATTTATCTCCCTGTTGCAGTAGTTCAGCTCTGCTCTTGCAACATCCAACTTGTCCCTTATAATCTATAGGAAAGGCTTTGCTAGCAATGAACAATCTGGAAAGGAACTCAACCTCACAGAGAAAATAATTCTGAATTTTTCAGTTCCAAGTAACAATAATGAAAACCTATTATAGTGTTAATCTGAAATTAACAGTAAATCAAATCACAATCCTCCTTTACATTTGGTGGCTGTAGAATTCTTATAACAATTTAGGATGACACAGACTTAACAGTTCAGAAACACCACTATCATGTCTGAATGCCTGTTGCCAGCCTGCAGCAATCAAAGAAGGGGATGCACCATCATTTCAAATTATACTGGTAACTGTGTAATTTCACCAAGTGTGAATATTGTGAGTTTACAGCCCTGTAAAACTTCCAGGTAACTGTTTCCTAGAAATCTGCTGTCACGTGCAGACACAAACAACCAAGCTGTTGATGTCACTGGAGATATGCAGGTAGCAGTGGGTGGGGAGCTCCAAACAATGAGAAGACAATAGTTAAGAGACTAAGCTCTAAGAATGAATATGTACCTTGTTCCCCATATCTCCTACCCTCTCCTCCTTTCTCAGGAGCAAAAAATCTGAGCCCAGACCACTATGAATTCATGGAATTTCCAGCCTCTTCTACCTAGTAACAGCCCCATAGGAAAACTAAACTCTCAAGGACTCACTATGGAAACAGATCCGCCACAACTGTATTCTGTGATTCAGGAGTAAAGTAGGGCAGCCAGCTCAGGCAGAAACTGCAGCATAGCTCTGTATTATGCTCCTAATTGCTGTAGTACTAAAATGCAACAGTTTCTAAGCTCACACTGTCTATCTTGGCAATCTAAGCAGGCTTAGTTATTTGAAAATTCCTTAAAGAAACGTGTATCATCCTGATGCTAGCAGCAAGTAATCAAACAAATTCAAATACAATCTGGCTCAGGAGAAGGGACATAAGGCTATCACCCAGGGCTTTTATTCTGTTCAAGATGCTGCCATTGACTCCCTGTTCAGCCTTGAACTAAAAACCTTCAGCTACAGCTTCTTCATCTGCAAAATGAGAACTGTGATAGCATTTTCTCTCCTCTGTTGAGCAATTACACAGATTCAAAACAGCATAATTGTAAGGAGCTGCAAGGTGTTACCTCTGGACCTTCTCTGCGAGTTTTTTTCTCATCTGCTCTGCTTGGATTGCAAACAGCCATGGCTCTAAAGAGTTAGTAGACCTTGTGACACTATCAAAAAATCTTCGTGCTTTGCTTGCACTGTGAGACTTCCTTTGGATATGGATGTATGACCTCCAAAGAGACTGGTTGCTAGGATACCGTTTCAGAGCCTCTGTCAGTGCCTCTCGCAGGGGATTCAAAGGATAAACACTAATTTTCATGTGGAATCTCAGTAAATTTGTATGCAGCAGTGTGACAGCTTCAAGAGCAGTGGGAAAATTTTGAATGCCAAAATTCTCTCCTGTATTTTCACATTTCTGTGAACAAGAAACTTCAAGTTTTTCTGAAGCCTGCGTATATATTAATACTGCAGCATCAATCCCAACAGTCAAATACTGAAACAGTGCATAACAACCAACCAGGTTAACCAGCTGATCAGCATCATTGACCAGATCCTGATCAGATACTGCTGTTTTACTTAAATAATCTTGCAGTGCATGCTCATATATTTTACGAGCTTTCAAGACATTCACAGGTAGCACTTGTCCACTGTAGGGCACATATGGTCCATTTTCAGTCAATTTGGTCAATATATGAACAGCACGTGACATGACAGCTCCTTCTGTACTTTCCAGCAGTTCCACTTCCAGCTGAGCATACAGCAGGCTGAGGCTGCAGAGCTGAGCACTTTTCAATCCTCCTGTCCCTGCTGTGCAAAGAGCTGTGTCAAACACCTTCCTGGAATCATCTGTGTTACCAAGCAGCCACTCTAGGTAGGCATAGAGTTTCCAGAGAGAAAGGTTGTTTCGGTTGTCAGGTGCTTTAAGAAAATTCTTGGCCAACTTTTTACTCTTCCTCCCCTGTGCTTTTAGCTTCTTTTTCTTTTTAGCTTGGAGACACTGAATTACCTGCAGGGGGAAATAAACAGAGTATATTTTGAGAGGGATGGAAGCAGAAAGGAGAAAAAAAGCCCCTCACAGCAATTTTTTGTAATATAATTATAAAATTATATATTATCGTATAATAATATTTATGCAGAACTTCAAAAAATAGTTTGCTACAGGTATGCCACTCTTTAACATGTACTGAAGCAAAGAGCTTTTTGTTTCTCTTTTTTTTCCCCTTTGTCCAATCTTAACTGGCATTTCCTGATTTGAATACTTAGTCCTGCAAGACAACTTTCATCAAGACTATTTTAAATTCAATACAAAAATTATTACAGAAGAAAGTCACACATCACAACATTGATTATATGCAGACTCCTCATTACCTTAGATATTTCATACTGTAGCCAACAAATGGCCAGGTTAGATTTTTCCTTTCCTGTAAATATCTGGAACAGAACATGGAAGACATTCTGTATGAACTCCTCTCCTTCTTTGTAGTGGCCTATCTGATGTCTGCCTCGTGACATCATATCCATATGACCAATACTGTTGAATCCAGAAAGTGGAAAATCAACAGAAGTCAGTGGTTTATCATCATAAAGCACACTGTCAAAGATGCTATTTTCATCCATGGCAATATAGAGACTGGAAGGAAAGAGTTTACTTGTACATGGAACTCCCAGAAATTGCAAAAAAGAGTACAATAGTTGATGTTGAAGCTTTGGATTAGAAAGACGGATTAAAGATGGTCCAAGATCATCAAATAACACCTAAAAAAAAATCCAAATTAAAACAAATTCCATTAATTTATGCAATCAAAAGCAGCAACACTGTAATTCATGTAATTAAAGAACATTTTCAAATCAATAGGATTTACAATTACCATTAAATGGTATCAAAATGTCATTCAAATTAAAAACGGACAAGTTAAACATGCAATCTGATTTTCCAGTCAGACTGTAAATTTGCCATCAAGAGACTTCTTTACCTGTGAACAACAAAGACCTCCACAAAAAACTTACAAAATGAAGGTCTGGAAGACTTTATTTATAAGCCTTTTGACAGATTCATATTTGAAAATCAATGTCTGACTTGACCTATTTCCCAAGGAATAAAAAATATCCAACTATTTGACTTGAAGGCAATGAAACCTTTGTTTATTTAATGCACATCTTTTCTTAAGCACATATTTTTGTGAGATTTCTCTACACAGATGACAGGAATCACTGAACAGCAAAGACAGACTATTTGCCTGCAGACTTTCCAAAGTTTACTATAAGCTTCCCATGGTTTTCAGAAGTTTCAGCACAAAACTTCAGGCAAATTTTGAATTTCAAAGAAAAAAACCTTTTTTCCAAACAAAGAAAAGTATTATTCCTCTAAAATATCCACAAATATAGCAATGAATTCAAATTAAAGGATAACTAGTCTTATCATCTCCCCTTGTTCAATTATATCACAGTGACCTGTCTTTCCGGATCTTCACAATCTTCTTCAGTTTCCTTCTTAGTTTTGTCTGGCCTCCAAGGTAACCAGTGCCTTGCCTCACGGGAATATTCAACATTCAACCAAATATGCCACTTGGGAAGAGTTTTATCTTTTATTTCTTGATCCTCATCTATTTCTTCCTCATCCTCATCATCTAAAATCAAATCAATATATAAACACAGAAAATTATAAAAGAAAAATCATCCCACCAAATCCAAAGGCCAGGCATGACATAGACTTTAACTACTTTAACAATGGAAATAAATATAGTGTTAATAAAAAAAACCACACAAAACATAGCTGACATTTTCCACATCACAGTTCTGGGTTTGACACTAACTCAGTAAGAATAGGAAGGTAGGAAGCTTCCAAACTTTCAGAAGCTGTGAATCAGTGTCAGCACTCAAACTTTTTCAGAGAAGAAAAAACACTGACAGGCAGTGGACCACTTTTATCCACAGCAAACTGCAAGCAACAGCCAAGAGTCAGTCATCCTTTTGTGCAATTTAGATTCTTCATACTGAAGCATAAAATTTCAAGTATGCTCTATCAATACTAGTGTGCCCAAAACATTTTGAGAAAACCACTGAATATAAAAAATGGTACTTTAATATTAAACACTGCAAAATAAGTTTGGCCATGTTGCTTTATAACAAGTGGTATTTTCAACATTTTAATTAATGTGCAATTGAAACAACCCACACAGTTACACACACACACTAAAGGACGTGCTTAACCACATCCCACTTTTATGATAATCTTTCTGGACTATAGGATAAAATTACCATATTTTTCCTCTGACAGCAATATATTAATTCTGTGCAGAAACCGATGAGCACCTATAGGCAAAGAGCTTGCAGAGATGTTTCCTTTTTATTGCTGAGGAAAAAAACTGCCCTCAAAATTTGATGGTTGCCTGCATTATAAAAATCCAGCTATTTCTACACCACCTCCAAATTCTTGATCCTGACATCTGCCATTACCTAAGTGAAACACTCCCAATCCCAGTTCTTCTTAAATTTCAGGTAAAACAAACAGGTGGTTGCAAGATTTTTACTCTGTTTTTGTGATCAATAGTATCCCCTTTAGTCAGCAACTCTATGAAAAAGAGACAGCATTTCCACAATCTAGTCAAAGTTTGAAGAAGCCTGACAGTTTTTAATAAACACACTTATTGAAAATTACACCTGAACTTTAGGGGTTGACACATATGGGGAAAGCATTCATATATACTGGAGCTGCCCAGGACTGGCAGTCGTCCTCTGCTCTATACTGAGTCTTCTTAAAATGCCTAGAGCCATCAAAAATAAAACTGCTGAACTCAGGGGCCAAGGAAATTCCATCTTAATCCAGGGACAAGGGAGGCACATAATTATCTTTCAGTTCCTTTGTTCACTAAAAGCAGACCCAACTTGCTTCATCAGAGTTTCTACAGCAGGAGTAGCAAAAGCAAAGACCACTCATCTTGATCAGACACATTCCAGCCTCCTGCTTCCCTGCAAGCTGTATCTGCTTGAGAAATAGTCCTTGACATGAAAAGAAGTACTGTGGACCACAAGACAAGGTGAGGTTAAGCAGCAGGAAGTGTTTTCTGCATCCCTGCTCATCCAGAAGCACTTCAGCCAAGTGAAGACACAATTCTTTCATTTTCTGCATTACAGAGATAAAGGAAATGTTTTCCTCCTATTTTAGCTATACCTTTGCTTGAGAAACTAAAGTCCAGTTCTAGAAACAGAATCATAAATCTAGGTATCCTTGAAGCAACTGTCATTTAACAATATAATCCCACTTCACCTTATTATAGGGTGAAACGGTCTTAAGGGAAGTAGCTTCCTTTCACTTTTTGTTTAGAAAAACACACAGACATACAACTACACATATTAAGACACACATACCAGGCTTAAGAACAACCCAGCCACCCTTTTCTTGTTGGTGCATCCATGCTTTCCAGCCTCTTGCTCCTTTTTCTCCAATTCGTGGTTCTCCACTATCCCAAAAGGGTTCAAAGAATTCCACCTAATGTTTTTGACAGGACCAACCAAAACAAAACACATAGAAAAATAATTTTTGCTGTTGTACAGACATTATCTTTGTCAACTTAGGCTTCCCAGTAAGTATCTGCATATAATTTCTGTATCTGAAGACTTTGTTAGATACTGCTTAAAATTCAGCAGGCACAATTGAGTACTTCAGTCACAGCTGTGGCACACAAGGACTGTCATCAGCTCCTCTCACAAAAATAAAGATTGTTTTAAAAGGTAACAGGCTTTAAAGAAAGCAAAATACTTTTGTGCCTATAGTCCCTTATAGATCTTTCATGGATAAAGATACAAAGTTCCTAAGGTGTGGCTTTCAGAACCCAAAACTCCCCTCCTCCTTAAATTCTATGGGACCAGGAAGAATTTGGCTAATGGAACGATAACTCACACACCTTTGGTCAAATCAAAGGTTACAGTTGCACATAAATATGACTAGACTAAAGACAAGACAAAAAAAATCCATAAGGACTTTAATCTTTCAGGCTGAAGGATGGCCAAAAAGGTCAGGGCACTTTCCAGTAAATCAGAGGTTCAGGATTCTACTCCTAGTGACTTTGTCACTGCCAGTATGCAATCAGTCATCTCTGGATTCATCAACCCCTCCTCTGCTTTGTGTATCCTAAGCTCTAATGACAATCTCTCACCTATTAAATGCTCTGCTGTATACCAACCCTTGGCTTGGACATTGAGATGTGACTGTTAATACAAATATTAATAATAAAATTTACTCCAAGAAAAACCAAGCATCAACACATGAGAAAATTCCAGGCTTACAGTGAACTGCAGAATATAATTCTGCTCCTTGTGGATTTATTCTTTGCTGCAAGTGAGAAAGTGATCTGTGAAAACAGTACAGAAACAAGTAATTCCAGACTGAGTCATAACACTTCTCTAAGACAGCAGAATGTGTGATCAGCTGTAAATCTGGCATTTTCCTATTTTCAAGAACTGCATTTTCCAACCTAAACATGGTCCTTTTAAATCAAAGTTCCTTTTCATCCTCCTCTAAGATTTTTTAAATACTACAGATAATCATGCAGTTTTTCAAACTACTATAACTGTAACTACATGTATCTGTGCAGCTACACCAAATTCTCCATGATAGCTATGATTGAACTCTAAATTTTAGCTCTTTAAGAAGACACCACTATTTTTTAACCTCTAAGATTGCTCCATTTGTGGGTAACAGTATTAATCAAGACAGCAAGAAATGGAGTCTGAGTTTCTGGGCAAGACAGTGAGGTAACTGCAGCAAATTTAATTTTTATCCTCTACATCAGCCCAGCTGCCTAAAGGGTGCCTCTCTACGTTCATTAAAAAGGAACCAGTTCCTAACAATTTAGTGGGATGATGCTACTGGCATCTAAATATTAACTTCCTCATTATTAGAAGGGTGCATGTGCAACATTCTGCTGAACAAATTAAGAGAAAAAAGTTATTTAGTACTTCAACATTTACCATAATAAGCTGAACAGAATCTCATGGGTCAAATAAAAGGCACTTGAAAGCACAAAAGTGTTCCTAATGTAGCCACCAAATTAATGGAAATAGAGAATCTAAGAAACTTTGGCAAAAACTGCCTGAACCGAAAGATTTTATGTCCTATCAGCTCTCTCCATCACCAGTAACAAAACAACAGCATTTTGGGAGAAAAAAAGCAAGACAAGTGCTAGCTAGACACAGACCTTGGTCAGCTAGCTCCATTTTTTTCATTTTTAATTATTAAAAAAGATATTAAATGACTGGTTATCACACTTCTATTATATACAGTAAAAGTAGGCATTTGGCCTGTAGTTCCAGAAGACCTACAAGCATTTTTCAATGCAAGCATCACCTTGAAGAACCTCTAAGTAAGGTATTATCCAAAATATTTCCCTGTGGCCTTAAAAATTCATCAACATTTTTCTGGTACAGCATTTTTGGTAATACATAAAGACACACACCCATTTAAATGGAAATTGCTACCTGTCCCCTTGTTGGCAGATCTTTTACACTGTCAGGTTTAAAGAAGGTGAAGTCAATAAGAGCCTGAAACAAAGACACTGCTTTCTCAGAATGGCCAGCCTGTCGCAGAAAGTGGCATTGCTGAATAAATATAGCTGTAAAGCAAAGAAGATAAAATTTTAGCATTTCAGATTTTGTTGCAATGTATTGTATTACAGCCCACAAATATAAAAATAGATACGCAATATGCTGTAGAATATTAATTGTTTTGGAACAGTATCAAAATCCAAACCATGGAGGGTAACCAGTATAAATGCATGTCAAAATTGTCAGAGTTTAATGAACCTTAAGACCACTCACTTTAAAAGTGCCAAAGAGATGATTTTTATTTGTGCCATACATGCACTGTCCTTACTGATGCAAAGTTAGACACAGTGCTCTGAACTTCACTGTATCCAACATCTGCCAGTGTTGACCCAACATCAGCCCTCTTGGAAGATGCTGGGCGTTATCACAGTGCATACAGGAGGCGATAATAAGAAAAAATCCTTTTTGCCTCAGTTTTGCATGAGATATTTACATTGATAATATGTTGGCAGGATATAATTTTCATTCCAATTGTCATTCTTTTCTTCTGTATGTAAGACCTGAGTTAAGAGAAGTCCAGTCTTCTGGTCAAAATATTACTGCTTAAAAGTAGTGAAAAGCCCTATCCCTCACTCTTCAACAAATTATTTGTCTTACTACTGCCATATCCCTACTCCACATTGAACTTCAGTCTCAGCTTAAAAAGGGAAGTCCCAGTGTTCCTCTCCATATCTTGCAAGAGAGTCTTCAATGACAGAGTTGGAGAAGTAACAGGTATTCTAAACACCTCCATTATGAGGCAGCTCAAGGACATTTCAGTGATAATCACTCCAAATTATACTCTAGTCTTAACAAAACAGAAGCCATTTAAATTGCTTTAAATCATAATCAACTTGCAAAAAACCTCAAGCCCATAAAGACTTAAACAAATCACTAACAGCTTGGAAAACAGTAAAACAGTGCTTTAAATATTACTGTTCCTTCACTAAACACACTAGCTTTGAAGGGTTTTAAACAATCCAAATATTTAGGTGTCCAGATACACACATGTAACAACATAGGTTAGCAGCAACTGTTCGTAATCATCATCTTATATTTAACATATGGGAAATTATTTACTCCTTTTATCTGAATTTACATATGTATCAGATGTATACACATAAAAACCTGATTCACCTGGAATATACAAACTAGGCATTTAATCCAATTTTTTCTGCAAAGTCAATGATTATTCCTGCTAACAAAGACTCTGAGATTTCTGAAGATATTTAAACAACAAAAACAATTACTAAGTTTATAACAGTCTTCTCAAGTATTTTAACTAATTTAGGCACCGTGTCAAACTGACACTGAAAAAATTGTCCTTTCCTACTCTCCCAGCTTCAGAGAACTTCGACTAAAATACTCTGACTGTAGAAAATGCCTCATCAGGATTTGCTGCCAAACCAGAGCCAGAAATAAATTACAGTGTAAATTTTTCTACATTTAAAAAAAAACCCAAAAAACAGTATTTGAAGAAATGCAAAGATCAGCATTTTCTCTGTGGCAAACACTGAAAACTGCATGAATACATACTTAATTCACTCCATGATGCTAAGAAACTTCTGCAGCTGAACTGACCTAGAAGATAAGGATGTTTCTCCCCAACCAGTAGGTATAATTTGAAAACCAGAACTCGGTTTACACAGCAGAAATTAACAATACTTTATATTCCTCTGCTTTATATTAACAGTTCCTGGTAAATTTAAAGCATTATAAATTCTTATCTCAAAATTTATGTAAAGGCTAATCTACCATTTTAAATTCAGCTTTACATTTTGAAAGTTTTTCAATACTTAAAAAAAACCCCACCTATTTCCAAGCAGACAGTACTCCATACTGAACTGAACACTAGATGGCACAGTCCCCCACTATTTAAAATTAGAGCTCTTACACTTTGTCCTTAGGAAAGGTCAAAGGTTGAAGACATAAGCCTAATGTACATCTACAGTGCTAGTCACCTCATAATTAGTTTGTGAAATATTCTGTCTATTTATCTCAATGAACACTTTGGTACCCTTCCTAATAAGTTTGCTGCCAATTAAAATTCAGCCCAAGAATTACACAGTTGAGTCACTAATAAAGAAATCGCAAATCAAGATTTCCAGTGAAATTTCTCTAATCCTATGATTTGAATTCTGAAGAGGAAAAATAAAATACTTCAGAGTGCTCATAAACAAATCACTGTAGACTTAAGACAAAACAACAAGAAGTTACTTGTGGTTCTGTTCCATCCTTAATTTGAGTTCATTTTCATTTTAGCTCTCTATGAATATTGCCAGCAAAAAAGTATTTAGAAAAATATCAATCTGATATTAGTGAACTTGCTAAAGGAACTCCATTTAAAAAAAAAAATCTCATAGCAGTTAACAAACTGCTTCATTAATTAGTATTTCATTAGTCACATATGTTCAAATATGTGCAGGAAAACAAAATGAAAGAAAAACTTTGTTTCCAAAACCAGATTCTGAATAAAATCCTTGTCCTGAGAATCATTCATTTTAGTGAGTGTACAAAGTGACTGAAATATTGGAAATCAGAGACAGCAGAAGCAATTAGAAGCTATCAGGCTGTACAGTCTCCACTGGCCAGTAGAACATTTTTCCTTTGCAGCACTTTTTCCAATGCTTGATCCAAGATGAATCAGCCAAAGACTGTATGAGATCTGAACACCTGAAATCAATTTTGTAACCCAGCATCTCTAAGTCCAGAGTGGATACTGCATAACATCATTGCTCCAACAGGAATTACAGAACTGGATAAAAAAAAGAGGCTTCTTGGACTATGATGCACATGAAAAAAAATTGACTCCTCCATAACAGTCTATTTGATTGAAAACAAATTTTAAAATAAAAGAAAAAAGGTCGAAAATACTCATGGTGACACTAATATTTTCCTCTCCTCAATGTATTCACAGATCAATAATCACAATGACATGCCAAGGTAGGGAAGTAAAATTGAAATGAATAGGTTATCATTTAGCTCCAAATAAATTTAAAGACCATGCCAAAACTGAGCATGAACTCATTTCTTTCCTGAATCCACTCCAGCATCCTAACTATTTGACTTATTTTCCTTCCAGGGATAATTATAAATAAATTATAAAGTGGTAGATGTATACATAGAAGAAATATAAAAGGCATGATCACAAGGTATTACAGCTTAGAATTCTCCATCTACAGAGTAGGTTTCTCAAAGAAAAATTATGTCAGACTTGTAATGCTCCTTCTCTTTTCTGAATTAAAGTAACCAGTTGTAAAACTTCCAAAAAAGAGATAATTATTTTTTCCACAAGTCTCCCTTTTATAAAAGCACATCTCCTGACTGTTGGCTGTGATTCTCCAGTCTTGACATTGCACTATAAACCACTCAGCACATTAGACTTTAATGGATGTTGTATCATAAACTCTCCTGGGGAAGAGAAGGATCTGCTATATCCATATTTGGTTGGAATATCTGCCTTAATTCTCAGCTAAGAAACCAGGATGCCAGGCATTTTGAAGAGAATAAAAGCTTCATGCAATACACAGGAAAATCTGTTCTTACTGCAGTTAGCTCCTATGAAGACCAATCTGACCATAATATACAGAAAGAACCTTACCCAGCATAGCTTCTTCAGTGCCAGGCAGCAGAGGATGGGATACCATGCTGCCATCCTGTACAGCTGCCAGTGTTGTCAAACATTTTCCATAGAGACTGTTGATCTTTGAAACAGAAAAGGTAGTGAACTGACTTTGACAGAATAGAAGGTATTTCTTCCACATCTCTGGATTATTGGGATGTAAAAAAATCAGCTTCTGCCATTCTTTGATCACAGCTGGTGGTTCCCAGAATTCTGTGCAAAGCTTCAGCCTAGCAAGTTTCAGATCAACATTACTTGGATTGCTTTCAATTGCCCTCTCTAAAATGGCCAGTTTCTTTTCCAAGATTAACTTGAGTGATTTTCTCCTTAATTCCTGCTCTCCCTTACTGGCATAAAGGCTAGGTCCTCTCATTAATTCATCCTAAAACAAAAAGAAATATCATTACAACCTTAGGAAGAATGACCACTAGAATTACAAGAACACTGACATTTGTGAAGATGAGTTAACAGTTCATTCTTCACCAAGAAAAGATATACAGTTCCAAACAGATGAAATTAAAATATAATGTTCATGTATTTATTATAATAAGCAACAAGGTCCATTAGAATACATACCTGAAAGGAAATAAATTCCATCCAAGCATTAATATCTCTTGGGTTTTCTCTAACTTTCTTGTTATATTCTTCCACTTTTGTCATTAGAATGGAGTTCATGTTTATCCCACGCTCTTGAATTGTTTGCTGTGTATTTACAGACTCATTGTCTGCACTCTTGCCTTTTCCTTGTAGCCACACTGTGGTTGACGGATCATAAATCCCAAGAGGATTTACTTCTGTTGTGTCAGAAGAATCATCAGTTTCCACTTGGGAAACTGGTATAAAAGCAGGTGGATCAGATGGAGAACTTTTATTACAAACAAGAATCCCATCTGTGTTCAGCATCTTCACATTGTTCTTTGTAAAGTAGCGCTCAGGTCGACTCTGTGCTTGCTTCCTTTTTGATGCAGAACTCTCCCAGGTTATGCACTGTTTCTTTGCATCTATGCCAAGACAGGACTCTCCTTTCCTTTTATACCTTGGAAGGAAAAATACAATTAAATATCTTCTAAAATACACATTAGAAAAGAGCCCTCCTTTTTGAAAGAAATTCTTTCATTCAAATTAACTCAGATAATGTATGCATAGACCTTAAAAAGTTTAAGAACTTGGTAGATTTCTGCTTAAGACTTCAACTTATCAATTCAGTCAGTGCCATCACACTTTTACTATCATACTAAGTTTCCTCTGAGTTCAATAATACATGTCATACTCAAGCAGAAGAAACCCTCCTTTCCATCATTTTAAGCCACGTAGACAAACCTGAAGGAAGAACAACAGCCATTATTTAGGGTTAGATTATTTAATTTATTTAATCTAATTTAGATTAGATTATTTTAAACTGAAAAAGAGACACCAGTTGTTCAGTCCCGTAATTTCCTTCTGCATCCCTAACACTCTGTCCATTTTGTATGCCAAAAAGTGGAGAGGGGTGTGAAGAGAAAAAGAAAGGCCACGTTTATAAAGACCATAATAGTCCTATGGATTAAGACAGGAAAAGACCATCTTCAAATATTACCAAGAATGTCATTTCAGTGGCAAATGTAGTTACATGCAACACTAAAATAATACTTTTCATCTCAGAAAATAGCTGACAATCCAAAGGTGATAGAAAATTGAAACAAATTGAAACCATGCTACAAAAATATAACCAATAAATTCTCCCTCCTCCACTGTATTTATATACAGTATCATTGTATATACAACAAACAGTTTTCCTGAGAAAATCAAGAAGAGTACATACATAATGCACATGCCAACTGTAGGCTCCTTTGGATGGCCTTCTGTATTAATGCAAGGAAATGTTCTGAAGGGTCATCACAGCACCAGTAACTCACTAAGGGTATTGAATGTGCAATTTCATCTATACTAACTTGAAACATAGCATTGCATAGGACAGACACAATTCAGTACAACGTCTGGGTGAAATCTGTTTGCTAAGACAATACCTGTAGCTTTTTTTTTTTAACAACAATATCAAACTATTCAAGTAAGTAAACCTCTTGACAAATCTAGTCTGAAATAATCAATACGTTCACTTCCCTTTCAGATGCAGAAACAGAACAACAGAGACCAAAAAGAGCACTTGTCCAAAGACAATTTATAACACAACCTGTGATTTCTGACCTCAAAAACATATCTTTGAATCTGCCCCGTGCTGCCACCTCCAGATGGCCCTGTAGTTTGCTACACAGAGAATGTTTTTAAAAGCAATGAAAATCATGCACATTATACCCATTCTTTCATGCCATCTTTTGCCTTTTAAAACATTTATCTAAGAATTATAAAATAGTTTGGGTTGGAAGGGGCCTTACAGATAATCTCATTCCAGCCCCACCTTCCACTAGATCAGGCTGCTCAAAGCTCCTTCTGGCCTGGCCTCAAACACTTCCAGGGATAGGGCATCCGCATCTCTGAGCAGCCTATTCCAATGCCTCACCACCCTCACAGTAAAGAATTTCTACCTAATATTAAACCAAAACCTATTCTTTTCAGTTTAAAACAATTTCCCCATGTCCTGTCACTACATGCCCTTATAAAAAGTCCCTCTCCATTTTTCTTGTTGTCACCAGTCTCCCTCCTGGTACTGGATGGAGCCTTGTCTTTTCCAGGCTCAACAGCCCCAATTCTCCCAGCCTTTACTCATAGGAAAGGTGCTCCAGCTCTCTGTAATCAATCTGGTGGCCCTTCTCTGGGGCCTCCAAAAAGTTGATGTCCTTCCTGTGATGGGGATTCCAGAGCTGGATACAGCACTTCATTGCGGTCTCACAGGGCAGAGTGGAGGGGCAGAATCCCCTCTTTGCCTTGATGGCCACTCTGCTTTGGATGCAGCCCAGGATACAACTGGCTTTCTGGGCTGCCAGTGCGTATTTCCAGCTCATCATCCACTCGCTCTCATCACTGCTCTCATCCACCAGCACCCCTCAAGTCCTTCTTGGCAGGGATGCTCTGGATCTGTTCATCCCCCAGCCTGTGTTGATACGTGGGGTTGTCCCGACCCATTGGCACCTTGCCATTCTTAAATCTCATGAGGTCCCCTTGCTGAGCTTGCCCAGGTCCCTCTGCACGTCATTCTGTCCTTCAGGAGCATTAAGTGCACTACTCAGCTTAGTGTTGTAAAACTTACTGAGTCTGCACTTGATCCTGCTGCCCATGTCATTGATGACAAACACATTAAGTAGCAGTACAGACCCCCTAGTGACATCACTTGCCACTGACACTGGCCCAATGCCAAGTCAGATTTTGAAATAAGCTACTCAGTTATCTTTTCTCATCTTCTATGTAAAAATGTTGCAGACAGACTCAAAGTACCTCAGCGACAGTTTGGATACAATAGAGAACAACATTCCATACCTTGCTATGTCCCCACGATACAAGGATTTGTAGGCCCAGTTTGCAGGGTCTGGCTTCTTGTCTATCCGGAAGGTGTCTGCGCTGGGGGCCTGGATATCATCCAGCCAAATAGAATGACTGCTGGTAACATTTGATGCTTTCTTACCTAGACTGAAGACAAGCAGAAGGAGGATATTCTAAGCATTTGTGCACATATTCAGCATTCACATAACCCAAGACACATTAAATTTCTGTAGTTCACAGTAATTTAACTTACTCAAAGTCATTGACCATGATCCACTCTTGCAAAGTCAGCCCCATGCTTCGAAAAAAACAATCAGAAATACCCTAATAATACCATCAAATTAATACACTGAAAGTCCTTGCACTTCCAAAAACTGAATTACCAGATTTAACCAATCAATTTAATCAATAGCTTGGCATACTATAATCTAAAAGCCACATATTACTACTTTCAAAATTTACTCTTGCCTTGGTAAGATGTTACAATCAAGAAAATTAAGATAATCCGTAAGAGGATTGACTAGCTGTAATTATACCCATGCATTTGATAAAACAGTGATTTATGGATTACAGTTATACAAATGAACTTAAGTGGAAATTGCAACCTGCCTCTGAACTCTAGATAATTATGAATTTCCAATCTGAATTAATGGTACAATTATGTGAGTTTTAGAGTCTTGAAAAGTTTTTTTAAAATTTTACAACACACTTCACATTCAGAGCAATTTTGTGGTTCAGGTCTCAAAACCAATCTTTTGAAAATTCAATATTCTCTCAGCATCAACAATTTATGGAAAGTAGTAAAAGAAAGACATCATGAAATAACTTCAACACTTTTACTTGGGCAAAGCACTGGCTGTCTGGCCTAACCTGGCAAACAGCTTATGAACCATGCCCAGGCACCCCTCCAGCACCGATGAGTGATGGGACTGAGCAGAATGGGTTCAGCACCCAAGTATTTTTTACAGCCCTTCCTCACAGTCAAGGAAACCTTAACCACCACAAGCCAATAAAAGTTCCCATAAAGGAGGAGCCACATCTGGCTAGGGGTATCAGACAGCATCTGTAGTACCTCTGCCGCCCTTCCTCAGGGAAACAATGCTACCTTGGCAGACACCAACGTGTGCTTTCAGCTCCTGATTAATTCCCCTTGAGAAAAGGAGTAAATTGGGGGAAATTCACAGACTACCCAGACTACATTAATTGTAACAACAATTCCTTAATGTCACCAAACCCTCACGCTATCCACAGGAGTAGCTGCAGTGCAGTGAATCAGAGCCAGAGCCAGAGCTGCTGATGCCAAAGAAAACACAGGAAGCAGGGAATCCAAGAGAGGAAAAATGGCTGCTCAAACTAGCAAACATGGTGAAAACCAGGAGTAGGTGACTCGCTGCCAACTGGATAGGGCCACCTTGAAATGTTAAAATCCCAGCAGCCTGAGGAAAGCACAGCTAGGTATGCCAAATCTGGATACTCGCTGCATTTACAGAACCTCTTTTCCTGCTCAAAGACCATGATAGTCACTACATGTCTATTTTCTTGTTCCATTAAAAATGACAGCTCTACTAATTATACAGTACCTTAGAGCTCCTGGATTTAATGAAGAAGATTTAACAAAACTATTTTAATTGTTCAAACACTCATAGAGAAATATTACAAGCAGAAAGGATGAAGCAAAATATATGGATACAAAAGATGTATTAAATAATTAAAAATTCTGTCTTAAATAAAAATTTTAAAATCTTACATAAAATTTTGTCTTAAAATGAAAAAAAAAAAGGAAATGTTGACTCTGTGAGGGGGAAGTTACATTACAAGGCAAACCCAGACACATACTAAGATTTTTGCACTAATTAAGAATGTTTAATGCAATTGCTCTCCAAACCCTCAAAAAAGATCTGTGAAAGGAAACAAGGTGCTTACAAAAACTGAACATAAGCCTCTACATGACTTTAGAAATTTATTTCATTACCACCATACCATGCTTTATATTGAATATTTTAGTCACAGTTGGTGACTATGGTGAATATTCAGCATACTGAGTATTTTAATCACAATTTTTTGATATGATTAAACAAGTGGTTCTAAATCTAGAACCACCTAGCTTTGAATGCATGTTTAGTCATACAAAGCTTAGATGATCAATCAATGATAAGAATTTCAGCTGAAGAGACAAGCATAAGAACACAATGAATTTACATCTTGCATCATGTTAATATTTACATACTTTGCTGCTGTTTCCTTTTCACTACTTTTGCCACTTCCTTTGTCCTTGATGTGCTTAGTGTCCACCTCTGATTCGCTGCTACTGGAATCCCCTTTGGTTTTCTTTTTTGTCTTCTTATTGTGGTGATGCTTTTTCTTTTTCTTTTTCCTTTTCTTACTTGTCTGTTTCAGACTCTCATCTGTATCACTCTCCTCTGACAACTCAGATCTCGAAGAAGTCCTGCTTGGAAAAAAGTATATTAATTTATATATAATACAGCTAAGCAGTAAAACTGTTACGGACTACCACCATAAGAAAGTTCAGAACATTTTATTTTTTACCTTTATTCTCCCTATTTTTTTGAGACAGTAGCAGTAACGTGTACAGCAAAAGTGATCTAAATCTGCAATAAATCACAACTATATTTTTCAGCTGCTGGAATTACTGACAGCTAGTCTTAATGTTTTAATTGTCAAGGCATTTTGATGTGTGATCTGTACAAAGAGCCATCTGTTAATGTTGCCAAATTAAATAAGATGATTGAGATGATAAAATTTCCTAACTTTGCTAAACAACTTAAGTCATGCTAAAAAACTGAGAAATCTTTCCCTGTGACCTGCAAAGGAAAAAAATTTTTTCTGTTTTTTTATTACTTATATAAGAAGCATCAAAACCACACTTTTACAATCACTTCCAGATTAAAAAAAAATCAAATCTACCAAACAAGAAACAATTTTTGATGACTACTGAACTAATGTTATCATATAATACAGTATAATGTAATAAATAACACTATGTACAACAGGCAACTGAATTATTGAGAGATCACACAAAGGACACATAGTTTTGGCAAAACACATGTATATTACTGTGCATATCACAAAATCTCCCACACTTAACAATCAAATTAATAATGAAGGTCTTCTCTAACCCTTAATTAAAGCACAAGCTCTTTTAAAACTTTTTTTCCTGCAGTCTTTCAATGAAAGAAAGGAGTGACAACTCTCATTATTCCTAATATGTCAATAAAAGAAAATACTGTATTTCAGAAGTAAGGCATCTCAAGCAACAGCCCTGACACAATTTTTTTAGGGACACTAAGGAAAAAGAAACCAAAGAAGAACCAATAGCAGACCTTTAAAACAAACATGCACACTTCTGCAAATCAACCAAAGCAAACTCTCTCCAAACCACCAACTAGACTGGAGCAATTAGTTTTTATTGAACTGATGAAACCAATTAGTTTTTATTAAATCAAGTATCCAAGTAATAGGCAAAACAACCCCCAAACAACAAACACCCAAACATTTTTCTATACACTGTTTTTTGACAAAGTCCTTTTCAGAGATAAAATAAACATGGTGGGTTTTTTATGTCATTCTATCTGATGGTAACTTGCAAAATCCTTAGCTTTATGACATTAAAGTCCTAAGAAGATTTGAAGAAACACAGCAGAATATATGACTGATAAACAAAACACTGATTGCATTTCAAACACACAATGCATGTAAATTCAAGACTAAGTATGGAAAAAGATGTGCTTAGGTGTGCTTGGTATATAAAATATTCTCTATCATGACCACCAACAATCATCACAGACAAGGGAGCTTGTATCAAATTAAAAGAGACTAAGGTTTTGAACTTGAAAACTACAACCTGACTGCATTCACTATTAAGTGCCAGTTACAGTGTAGATAAGCCAAGTACAGCACCCAGTCCTGTGAACGTATTAAAACCAGTTCTTCAGCAAATGTGACTGCTTAAAGCTCATTTCTGCAAAAGGATATAATCACCCACTTCAGCTTGCCAGGATGTTCTACAGCCACACTCAACTTGATACGTGCAATATTTCATTAGTTCACATCAGCAACTGTTTTCCAAAAAGTAAAAAACTCAACTGTGAAATGGCTGATTTCCATAGAGAAATCATAAAGATGATGCTTAATCTTTTCATTATTTTAGGGGTCACTTTAGACATTTACAAGCTAATGAAGAATGATGAAGAGTGATAAGTGCTCAGTTCCCTCTCCATTCCAAAATAACAATAATTTAAATGCAGCTTTGAGAAAAAGAAAATGGGGACGTAATTGCATACATACAATTTCTCATTATTTTAAGTTAAAAGACATGGAAGCATTATTCACTCTTTTACACATGACTCCATTCAGGTATTTTTAAATGCTGAACAATAGAATGAAAAGCAGCTTTTAGCTTCTGAATTTGGTCTCATAACAAAAGATAAACAGGACAAAAGAAAGAGGCTATTTCATAAGACACAGAAGTACACTCTACCTTATTAATGGTGATTTTTCAGGAATGAGATTGGCAACTTCTGCAGTGCGCTGGTGCAGTAAGAGTGCATCTTCTGCAGAGAAGCTTGGGTTACTAAGCCAGTCTAACTCTGTAGATAAAAAAAGTGTGAGATCAATACAAATTAGCTTGCTGTGCTTTTTAAAGTTGGGGGTTAATCTAGTCAGCATACAGTTAAATTCACAGTAAATGTCACTAAGTCATGTGCAATAACTGAGCATATTGGAAAGCACTCGACGAAATTTCCATTTAGCACATACTGAAAGCAGATTCCATGTTTAATACGCAGCTCTATACAGAAAGAATCTATCCAACAGTCCTTTTTATGATTTAAAGGTTCTAACTTTATGTATTTATAAACTGTATAAATTTGTAATATGTTTTTGATATATTATAAGATAATCTACTGTATCATAATATATTTACTACTATATACCAATTATACATTAATTGATATATACTATATAGAATACAAATAGTTATATATATTAAAAATGAAATTTAAAAATTACAGAAAAGCATAATTAAACAAAAGGTAAAGTAATGAATGAGATAAATCTTATACAAACTAACAAAAGTGTCCTTTTTGGACTGTGTGGAAAATATTCTTAACACAATTTTACTGAGAGGCATGTCCATTACTGATAAGAATACTCAAGTGCTTTATACATGGCCAAAACATGGCACTGGATTCTCAGTTCTCTAACCACTGAAATATCATTAGACCTTTCAACAGTGTGAAAGAAATCTATCTGAAGCTAATTTGGATACAGCAGTCAGCATTAAGCATTCTGCATCTAAGTCACCAGATAAGATCAGACACAGACAGAACATGGAAGGGAAAATTTCTGTCACAATTTTACTGATATTACAAGTTGTATGATGATTTTTCACAGGGTTTTCATACCTAGAATTCCTTTAAGCATGTGAAATTTCTTAGCTATTAAACAACAAAAGTTATTTTGGGTAAATACAGAACTCAACAGCAGTCCCTCCTGTGCCACACTGACAGAGATAACATAAGGAACAAACTTGGTCTCCCTGCCTCTCCTCCATGCTTTTTACAATCACTTTTGCCTCAGTGTTTTTCCTGTCACACTCTTGTCTTTGTGCTTTTGACTACACTAACCTCTACTCCTTAAACAGCAAGAACTCCTTGTCGGTCAAGCCATATACCTCTCCTGCTTTTAAAATAGAGAGAGTCCACAATTCATGGCACTGTCCAGACCAATACACTTCCCATGACCAGCCCAAGCAATATGCTGCAGAGCACCACCAGGCACCATTTCCCAGCCTGCTCCTGTAGCTTGGTTCTGCCTGAGCAGATAAGATCAAACTGCATCTTTAATGCACTGAAGAATCACTCTGTGAGAATCAGGCCCCGTGGGACTGTCAATACACCTCTGTGGCTACAGCAGGGAAGTTCAGAATTCTCCAAGTACAACAACTCCAAGTACAGTATCTTCTGAAGAATTTAACCAAACTGGCTTAATACTCAGAAAGAAATGAGCAATTTTTGCCATTGTGCAACATGCAAGTTCAAACTGCTTGTAAATAATCTCAAGTGAATCAGTTAGCTGGATGCAAGTATTTCAAACATCACAATGCATTCCAAACTTTAAAACACTATCTCTACACTTGTTAGGTTTTTTTTCTTGTGGAATGTCTAAGAAGTTTATCATTTTTCATTTCTGCAGAGCAGATATAAAAGATCTATTTTTCAGTAATATGCATGTACTTGTTACATGTTTATGAGCACAACAACAGCAATCCAATTACACTCTCTTTATACCTCCTCAACCAAAAAGAAAAACTTATTAATTTACAGTGCATATCTACAGAGACCATTTTTAAGAGTTACATGAAGCCTTTTGTTGCCTCTCAGGATCCTGCAAATCTGCTTTCAGCAAAACTCACTGCATCATCTGACTTACACCATAGTTCAGATTGCAAATAATGCTGCACATCATGCTTACTAATGCCAGCAGGGTTACTTACCACCAATGCTCTCTTCATGGCTACAGGTAAATTCACAATTTATCTTCCACCAAACACTAATTAAGCTTGACAACATAATTGTATCGAAGCATATAGAAAATTGCAGCACTCCAGAAGCTGCTGCAACTCAGCAATTGGGCAGCATAGGAAGCATAAGCACCGCTTCAGTGTCTGTTTCAGACAGCACTTCCACTTTAGAAATGGCTTAGGAAAGTTTTTAAAAGTATGAGACAGAGTGATTGGCTGCATGAAACATGATTAACATATATACATTATTACTTCAACTTTTACAATAAAACTATGAAGCAGTCCCAAATGTCTGCACACAACATTAAAATCAAAATACTCTGGGATCTCTGTCTTATGATGCACTTTGGCTTCACATCAGGTCTGAGTAGAGAACCATCTATCAGAGAGACAGATGCCTGTCAAGTTCTCAAGTTCTCATAAGCTGAACGTGTGAAATTTGATATACACCACCATAAACGTGGTTCTGAGTTAATACTTAATTTTTACAACTCACGTTAAAATGTCGTTGTCAACAACAAAGTACAATATTTATTAAAACATAAACCAAATAAATTATGTTCCAGTTTTGTCAATAATTCTCACACAAAAAGCTTCCAGTATACCAAAATTTAAGTCACAAGCAGTGCTGACAACAGAAATCTGGATCCAAAAGTCAGTCTTACACCTTTTTCTGTATAATCTGATCTTCCAGACAGGTGCCCTGAAGAGACATAGGTTACTGTAACAAACTTAAAGGCTAAATTCCTAAAGTTTTAAAATATAACAAAAGTCTTATTACTAGAGAATTTTACTGCATCCCTGCCTGACAGAGCAGTTCCTCTATTCCTAAAAGCTGTAGTTTGAGATCATATTGTGTCTGTTACTCCCTATACCAAATGTCATTATCAGAAAGGATCCTAAGTGCAGCTACTCTGCTCTGTACTGGCAGAGTGAGCTCCAGCCACTGTTCTGCCATCAGGAGTGATGCAGAACTGGCTAGAACAAGAAGCTAGTGCACCATATTGACTGCGCCAAACACACAAGAAATCTAGCCTAGGTAAAAAATAGTCTTTGCTTTCTCTTTGCTGGTGTCTAGGGAACCCTTGGTGTCTAGGGAATGGGGAGATTTAAGGGTGGTAGAACCTGAGAAGCAAAAAAAAGATCAAATCCTGTTTAATAGCATTAATAAACTTAGTACCTACTTCACCGCTTGGCATTACACCAGAAAGTGTTATTTACTTTAATATTATTACTTATTTTATTAAAAGCATTACTCGTTAGACATCAACTACAACAGTCAATGTGATACAATGAATCATAATCTCATTTCCAAAAAAGTCCTTCACAACTATGATTTGACTTAGTAATCAAGGAATTTAAAACAACTTTTCAAGATAGCCAAAGCTAGTGGGGAAAAAAGAGAAAAAATGAAAATCAAATAACAAAAGCAAGGACGAACCCCGTGCCGCGCTCCGCAGCCTGCGGGGCGCCGGTTACGGCCCCACGGCCCGAGCCCGCCGGCAGCACCGCCCCGCCGCCGCTACACGGCGGGGCCAAACTCGGCCGCAGCGGGCGGGCGGCCTGTGCCGAGGGCCGCCGGACAGCACTGAAGGGCAAGGCGGTTCGCCCAGGACTTTACCTCTCGTGGAGCCCTCGGAGCTGCCCGCGGGGGGCTCCCCGGGCGGGCCGGCCCCGGCGAAGGCGGGGAACAGCGCCATGTCTCCGGCGGCAAGATGGCGCCGCACGCCGAGCGCGCCGGGACCGGTAGTTCTTCCGCCCGGCGCCAAGATGGCGGCTGGGGAGGAAGGCTCGGCGCTGGGAAGGAAGGCTCGGCGCTGGGGGGGGAAGGCTCGGCGCTGGGGAGGAAGGCTCGGCGCTGGGGTCGCGGCTTTCTGTGGGACCCCGCTTATCGTGCACCCTCCGCCGCCGCACTGCGGGACTGGAGCAGGGAGCTGCTGCGGGAAGAGGCGGGATGCAGTTTCCAGAGCAGTTTCCCACCACCCCCATCCCTCATGAAGCTCGCCGGGACGGAACACTCGGGCGATGTCGCGGAGACGGCAATGCTGGGCCGTGTGAAAGATGACGATGCTGTGAGAGAGAGGCCAGGCGGCTTTTCTGCTGGCAATCAGCGTATGCCTGCAGAGCCGGCTGCCCTGGCAGCCTGTCCCAGCCCCGTCAGCGAGGGCAGCAAATAACTCCTGCAGCCGGGCCTTCCTTCCTCAGCTCTGACCCGGGAGCCACCCAGCCTGCCCGATAGCGTCCATGGGCCTGTCCTGCACAAAGGAACTGGAAAAATAATTTTTTATGCTTTTCTCTTTGTGCTTTCTTGGACAGGATGTTCCGCTTCTTAATTATGTATTGTCTGGAACAGTATTTCCTTTTTTGTCTCTCGTCAATGCCAGGTTTTTGCATTGTGAGGAAAAAATAAGCACCCTATTCACTTTTTTCTGCAAAATGTTATACCCCATTAATATACTTCAGTATTCTTCTTCGACTGAAAAGTTTGTGTATTTGCTTTAAAAGCTACTCCATAATAGTCTCCTTGTTGAATTTCTTTAGTTCTTCTAATTCTTACTAATACTAATGCATGACAAAAATTTCATGTAATGATTAAGGTGTACAGTGAGTTTAGGAATTATATGGAATTATGATGACTGGTTTGTTTTGTGCTCCTTTTCCAAAGCCTTCTGATCATTCTGTTTGGCTCTAGTCTTCTGAGCTCCACTACCTGTCAAGAGACCATTTGTGACTGGCAAAAGGTAACAGGTAACTATTGTGTGTAGATGATGGAATTAACTTCCCTATACACACTACTTCACATTTACCAAACTAATTTCTTTGGTCATTTTATAATTCATCTTTTAAATTCTTCAGTGACCTTTCTCAGTCAGATTTCCAGTTGATTGCTACGAATACTTTGCACCATCTACACACTTTGTCAACTTTACAGTCACTGCATTTGCAGCCTTTGATGTTGATGACTTCTTCCTTTAAAAAACTCTAAAACCATTTCTTAATCCTTGTTTCCTAACTTTAGTTTATTATTAGATCATAAACTGCTCTTCATCAACAGGAGATAAATGTGAAAGTACAGAGAGAAGAGGATTCAGAACATAGCAGTGATCATGGACACTGATAGTCTGGAAGTAATCAAATGAGTGGGGCCTGATTGCCAACTTGGAAAGTTTGGCTTTAAGTGTACACTCACCTACCTGATGTGAAGCCAAGTTTTGGTTCAGGTATGTTATAATCTATGAAGTTTTGTAGTAAAACTTTAGAATGTAGAAAATGTAGTATGTAATCTATAGTAACATGTATCCATCTAGAACTCATACAGAAGATAGGTAAGACATCTAAAAGAAGCCAATTTTGAAGAGAGAATTAAAAAATAATTACCTTGCCACATACATGTTTTAGCCTTTATCCTGAGAACAGAAAACCTGTGTAATTTTGCAACCTGCAGTTGTCTTTCTTTCTGTCTCGCATAATTTCTCCAGGTAGTTTTAGAACTCATGATCAGTAGCAACCAAATTTAAAAGAGGGTTGCAATTTATTTATTGCATTACTGCAAATCAAATGAGAACAGGTTGGAACTTGGAGCAGGATTTTGAGTGGGAGCAAAACTCCAGTATGCAGTTCACACTGGGAGACTGGCCTACTGAGAAAGTTGAGTCAGAACTCTTCTGTTAATGGAAATACTTGTTACAATCATATTTGGATAGTTCCTGAAATCTGTAAATGCGTTTATTCTGCATACTTCAGCAGTGGGAGAACTACCACCTATCTACAGAAGAATAATTAATTCCCTCTTATGAGTAAGACTCAAAGCCCTTTCAAGCTTTTGGTACTCTAGTGCAAGATAAACTAAATAGATTTAATAAAAAAGCATTCAATTCATTTGTGAATGTCAGCTGCTCAAAGCGATGGTAGCTAATGACTTCTCAACAAATAGAATACGGAAAATGTACGTTTTGAAAGTAAAGCAAAGGACCAAAGAGAGAGTTTATAAGAATCCTAAGCACAGATTTATGTCATGTCCCTGAAAGTTAAATCAAATTATGGCTAAAGGAGGAGAGAAGGCTACATTACCAAACTGTTAGTGTTGCCATACATCTATTACTGTGACAAAGAAAAACCCCAACCAAACAAACATATTTAACAATACCACAAAATTAAAAGCAGTTATCTTCCATTATCATGAATGAAGTTAAATTTGTGTGAATGTTGTTTTTGGATTGATGCACAAGTAGTTACTATTTAACATTAGTAGAAGTTAGCTCTGTAGTAAAATCTCCTGCTTTGAATTTTCTTGTACTATTGAGTGAGCAGTGCCCATGCTGATGAAATGTAGTTTTCTGCCACATATCCAGTGTATTAAATAAATTGGTTGCCTCAAAAGTGTGGCAGTTGAGCCACACTTTTCCACAGGATTTACTGAAAAGCCTGACCAAAGGACCTTTTGATGTCTAGAGTAAAGAAATACTGAGCATTTTCTTCAGTTCTATCCTAATAAAAGCAAACCATCAAGCCTTTTGCATTACAGACAAAACCACATTAGCTGCATATTTAGCAAAAAATTTCAATTACTAATGTTCTCTTCAGTTTTAATTATCTATTATATTACTTGTATAATAAATATTCTATTCTGATACTGTATAATATTGCTGTTACATTTAATGTATCATATTTTCTCCTCAAAAGACCTACTTTACAGGTCAGTATGTTTGTGCTTCCTAGAGTATTTTATACAGAGATTTTGAAAATGACATTACAAAAATGTAATTCTACTGCCTTCTTACAATGTAATAAACAATACCTGAATAAAATCTTAGCAGTTTAAGTTATTAATAAAATAGGGCTATAAAATTACATGGGAAATGTGCAAACATTTTTTCTTCAACAGATAAAATTAAACAGAAACATACACGAGCTGATTGATGCATTATTGCTAATATTTTCACAAAGGCTGTCAGACCATCTTTCTAATGCTTTAATAAATCTAGTGGTTTATTTACTAATCCAAGTCATATCTGTAAAATCTTCACTTATGAAAAGCTTGCTGGGCTATCAAATGCTTACTGGGTAGACCAGTTATTGCAGGTATATTTGTGATGCACATATGTAATAAAGTTAACTGGTTCCGTTCAGAAATGTATTCTGATGCTACACTTCAAAAACTTAAAGGAGTTTTTTTACTTGATTATTTTAGGCTGCATGGTAGTGCTGGCCTTGAACTTCAAATTGAAGCCATGGTCAGACTGATCCTGTAAGCAAGTTTGAAATATGTGTACACTGTTCCATTATACAAAACAGAAACAGCAACAAAATTAATACCAAAAATCTGTATCAAAGCCATATTCTAGACAGGTCTGTGAGGTGTTTAGACATAAACCTCAGATTTGTAAAGTATTTTAAGTTCTGCTATGTATTTATGTATGCATATGTGAATATAAGTCTGTATTTCTACATAATTCCAAAAAAAGTTGGGTCTCAATATTGTTCCCAGTACATCTACTGTGAACAAAACACAGTAGGAGAGGAAGGAGGTATTTTGCAGACATAAGCACAGCATTTTGTTTGCTAGAAAGGCCTGCTAGCATTTTGTACAAACCTTCTCAGGGTGAAGACTAGAGGATTTCTAGAGAAATCCAGAATGATTAAAACTTCCTATACATATCCAGACCCATACAATTTTATCCAGTTTCCTTTTGCAAAGAAAAGTAGTGAGGGATTTTAGTTCTTAAAAAAAAATGCAAACCAAATCAACCAATCAAACAAAAAACCCCACCTCACATCCACCCTTATTTTTAGCCTATTTTCATATTTTGTACCCTGTGATTCTATAACATTTCTTTTTAAAATACCACAGGAATAGATCCTCCTGTAAGAAAAATGCACTTGACATACTTCTTTTATTCTCAATCCAAACAATTGTTACATGACATTTTGTCAGAAAACATTCAACTTACTGCACAATTTTGAGGTGACTTGGTGGCTTCATTGTGCAGCCACAGGTGAAACTTCCAGTTACTGTAATGAGGTGGGTTTTTTGGTGCCTTGGGATCATAGGATCAGATGTTCATTTGGAGGAGTCATATTCCTAATGAAACTTTCAAAATGCGGCCTATGAAAGAGCATGCTTAAATAGACAGTATTTTAAAAATAAATAAGCTTACCAGTCAGGCTTTTCCATCTTCTATTGCATTTAGCAACTCTGCATTTTCTGTAGATTTAATGATTTCTTATGTAAAATCCATGCTAATTTCTCATTAGGCTTTTCCCCAAAATAAAGTTAATCTTTGGATTTATCCCTAATCTCTAACTTTTTGTGGACATATGCCTGGAAGGGATGGTCTATGCCACTGAGTTCAGCCTTCTCTGCAGAAAACCTCACTACACAGGTGTGTTCATATATTCAATTTTGAAATGTGTTGGGCTTTTCTACCCACAACTCCTGTAGACAGACAAGTCCAGAACCACAATGTTCCAATGCTTAGAAACATCCTGACTTCCTCCTTAATTACATTTATGTTCATATCCATCTGTTTTTGGGCCAGCAATTTCCTATGGATTAAAATAGCTCTCTGCTTCATGAGGGTGCTAACCTGGATGTAATCTATGCACAGACAGCAATCATATGCCACTCAGCCTTTCTGCCATTAAACAATTTAAACATTTTCAGTGCTCAGTCCACTGAATTTTTTGCACTTTTCTCAGTTCATATTCTGAACTAGAATTGTACACAGTATTCATGACACAGTGGTACATCTCAGTCTCTACTGGAAATATTCTACAGCCCTACATTTAACATACAGTTGGCTGAATCATACTAGTGGCTCATAATGACCATAATGAATAATTATAATTGGGCATTTCCAAGTAACTGCTTCCCTTATATGAATTCCCCCTATTGTACCAGAAAATCTTGTTATTAATCCCTAAGGACATGGCCTTCTATTCTGTATTAAATTCAACTTCCATAGATCACCTGTTCTATAGGACTGAAATTTTTGATATGGCTCATTGTTGGCTCAACAGCA